TAATAAAAAAAATAAAATAAAATAAAATAAAAATTTATTATGTTTTTAAAATAAAATAAAAACTTATTTTAAAAAATAGTTAGTTAGCAAAATAAAATAAAATAAAATAAAAACTTATTTTAAAATAAATGTTTTTAAAATAAAAAAACTTTTTTTAAAATTTATTTTATATATATAATACAAAATTATTATTTTACCCCTTTTAAAGCTAGTAAAATTTGTGGAAAAAAATTGGGTGGTCATGATGATACTAAATATAAAATTGGATGGCCTAGTGAAATAAAATCAAATTGGGTACTCATGAGACACATTATAAAGTTCGGTGGTCATTGATGGATTTAACCTAATAAAAACTTGTTTTCTGAAAAAATGTTATTTAAAAAATAAAAAAATAACAATTTATTTAAAAAAATTAGTTAGAAAAATATAATAAAATAAAAAATTATTTAAATAAATATTGTTAAAATGAAATAAAAAATTATTTAAAAAAAAGTTACTTATAAAATAAAATAAAAAGTTATTTTTTAAAAAAACATTCCTTAAAAAATAAAAACGTTTTACAAAAAACGTTTTTAAAATAAAATAAAAACTTATTTTGAAAAAAAAAGTTACTTGGAAAAATAAAATAAACTAAAAATTTGTTTTAAAATAAACTTTTATTTTTTATATATAATGTGAAGTTACCGTTTTACCCCTTTTAAAATTGGTGAAAATGATGAAAAGAAATTGAATGACCATGATAAAATGTTAAATGAAATTAAATGGTTATGGTGAAACATTATATGAAATTGGATAGTCATAATGAAATAAAATCAAATTTGATTGTCATGGTGATACTAAATATAAAATTGAATGGACATGATAAAACAAAATCAAATTGGGCAGTCATGGTGAAACTAAATATAAATTTGGATGGCCATTGGTAGGTTTAACCCGACTTTGAACGATACGACATCGTCTCAATTCGTTTCCGCACAGCATGTGTGGGAGCATTTTGAAAATGGTGTGTAAATAATTAAAACGATTTTTCACTATTGACGTAAGATTAGAGACGAGGTGATTTGAAGCTTACTATTCTACATAAAAGACGTGTATTGCATTAGGGTGAAGGTACAACTCGGAAAGATTAAGGTACAATGTAACAATGCCAACGAAACCTCCAAAAAGTCGAGAAATCGTTCTCAATGCAACAAAGAAATTTCAAATTTCAGAACAAGCGGGCCTAATATTGCTCTAATATACATTATTCCTAAGAAATGTAATTTACAAATTCATAATCATTCCCTAAGAAGTCAGGTACACTATAATCTTTATAAATTGGTAAGTTTAGAGTCAAATTTTTTTTTTATGGATTATTAATATATAGATGATTAATTTATGGAAATAATACATAAATCCTACATATTAAAATTACATTTCAAAATTAATAAACTTGTTAAATTATTTCAAAATTCAAGAGTTAATTTCAATTAAATATATATAATATATAATTAATTATCCCACCCCCACCCCCACCCCCACCCCCACCCACACCCACACCCACACCCACACCCACCCATCCACCAAACCAAAAATTTCCATAAATTCAAATCTGAAAATCACACCATCTCACTGATAATTAATTATCCCTACCTCACCCCACACACGGCTATCCCTACCCCACTAAAAATTTCCAGAAATTCAAAACTGAAAATCAACCACCCCACGGACCCACTCCACCCCACCTCACCCCACCTTCCAAAAAATTTCTATAAATTAAAAATTGGAAATCACACACCCAATCCATGGATCCACCCACCCTACCCATACCTTGCAAAAAAAATTTCAAAAATTAAAAATATCAAGTCATTGACGTGTCGTCCTTGACTAATTATGACCAAATTTGTATTCAGTATGACTGTCTGTGGCCAAATCAATCTTAATTGTGACGGTATGTGATCAAGTCCCAACCGTCACAATTAACACAGAATTGATCACAACCAGTCACAATCGATCACAATTAACACAGAATTGGTAACAATCAGTCACAATAAACACATATTTGGTCACAAATGATCACCACAAACAAATCCGCTCACACTACGAACAAGCACCATAATCCATCACCAGTCATTACCACCATCACCTCAAATGCACCACCAATACCACATTCAACTCAAATTTACGATCAACACCATCAAGAAAATCAGGAAGATCAACTTCGATCAAACATAGACAAAATGTTGTGACATAAAATTACAGATTATGCTATGAAGTATTGCAATAACTCAACACATTGAAGTCAAAGTATTATAACTACAATTACAAACGAAGTATTACAATAACTCAACACCATTAAAGCTAAAGAAGAGATGAAAATTGTTTACAAATTTCTGAATACAATTGATTTATCGATAATTATAATCATTACTTTCAAAATCCTACGTATTATACAAATTACAGACTCAAAGAACAGATCGAAAACTAATCTCAAAACCCTAATACATGAACTATCACCAATAACCACTGAACATCATGATTTCATATATCGAAGGCTCAGAATACAATCACCATAGGTTCAACACTTAGAAAACCCAGATCTAAACCATAACCCTCACAAATCGCTAGCCAAACGAGTAGCAACTTCTATGAACCAGAAGGACTACAAGTTTCCCAAATCTCAGCACATTCCTTTCAAGAGATTCACAAAGA